ACATTACTAAAGCATGTTCCAAACTTGCCATAACTCATTAATGAGAGCGCGAACTCGCCATAGCTCGTTAATGAGAGTGCAAACTCACCATAACTCATTAATAAGAGTGCAAACTCGCCATAACTCATAAATGAGAGTGTGAACTCGCCATAACTCGTTAATGAGAGTGGGAACTTGCCATAACTCTTTAATAAGAATGCGAACTCGCCATAACTTGTTAAAGAGAGCGAACTCGCCATAACTTGTTAATGAGAGTGCTAACTCGAGCATGGTACACTCGGAATATGGTGAAATGTTAAACATAAGAGTTGTAGCCCTTAGAGTAAGTTTTCCAATGGTCTAAGAATCGTCCAAATCCGAGGTCTATAGCTCAAGCTATCATTAAAATACTGAGGTATATTCTAAACTCGTTAACGAAAGTGCGAAGCTCATCGTTTCATAGCTCGTCATTTTAGAGTTTGTTTTGAGAGCTCGTTGTTTTAGAGCTCGTTTTGAGAGCTTGTCGTTTTAGAGCTCGTTTTAAGAGCTCATCATCTCAGAGCCCATCATTTTAGAGCTCATTTTCTTGGAGCCCATCATTTTAGAGCTTGTCGCCTCAAAGCTTGTCATTTTAGAGCTCGTTTTTAGAGGTTGTCGTTTTATAGCTCGTTTTTAGAGCTCGTCGTCTCAAAGCTCATCATTATAGAGTTCATTTTGAGAGCTTGTCGTTTTAGAGCTTGTTTTGAAAGCTCATTATTTTAGAGCTCGTTTTTAGAGCTCGCCTTTTATAGCTCATCATTTCATAGCTCACCATTTTATAGCTCGTTATTTCAAAGCTAGCCATTTTATAGCTCGTCATTTCAGAGCTCACCATTTTGTAGCTCGTCATTTCGGAGTTCGCCATTTTATAGCTCATCATTTCAGAGCTCGCCATTTTATAGCTTGTCATTTCAAAGCTCGTTGTTGAGAGCTCGTCGTTCCAGAGCTTGTTTTTCTTGAATCGTCGTTTCTGAAGCTCGTAGTTTTTGAAGTTCGAACTCGCACTCCAAAAACTAGGGGCTTATTGTTGTGCGGGAAATCCGGAGAGGATAATTCTTTATTAGGAGAAAATATATTTAGATTGGCTCAATTTGGAAGGAAGGTATTCAGATTGACTTAGATTTCAACTAAGGTAGCCTAAGATCATGCAACTTCCTAACCCTACATATTTGAATATTACCTCAACTCTATCATGTAAATGAGTGCTATATAAACTCATCGTAACTTGTTTTCAGGCGGGTTAGGCAATTGTTCTAGGAAAAGATTCATCATTTGTAATTCTCATTCAATAAGAGAAACAGTGGACGTAGGCTCAAGATTCAAACTTGTCGAACCACTTTAAAAATTGCCTCTTGTCATCGCTCATTTTTGCTCTTTAATTATTCAATTGTTGATTTTTACTAAATCACGCACACATCTGTTCCGAATCTACCAAGGACAATCGGATCTCTCAGGTTAGTGCGAATTTTCGTATCAACAGCACCAAAGTACAATTTCGCATGCAAAATGTCGTTGTGGGAGATAAGGATTATTATGATAGTCAAACTTTGGCTAACAAATTTGGGATTGCTAGCTTTCATGTTAGTTATTCAATTTTTTATTTAAACCCAATTAAAACTCTTTATAAGCTCATTTTTAATAAAATACTTGTAATAAATTAATTTATAAATATATCATAATTTATTTCAATATTACCAGTTTGCAATATCTACTCAACAACATTCCCTTTCAAATCTAGGGGAGCAAAATTTTCCGGTGGACTTGGAATTGACAAATACTTGATGTTCCGGTTCCGATTCCTACTCGAAATCGACATTGTGTGAGTCAGTTCCAATTCCCAAAAATGTGGAACCAGTACTGTATGGTTTCAGTGCCGGTTCCACTAGTTCAAGGAACCAGAACCGAGATCTAGGTACTGTCAGAGTCGGTTTAAGAACCGGGACTTAACTGAAATTTCAGCAACAAATCGGGGCTATTTGTAATTTTATGGTGCAAAACTTCAAATAAGAAATTACAGTTGAAAAAGCAGTTCAATACTGAACATTTCTTCCGTTCTTCGAATCTTCGTCTGCCTATCACTTCTCTTCTCACATTCGCAAATCGGAAGCTGTGAAGCTGATTTCTGTCTCGATTCCGTGCCATTCTTGTCCGTTCGCAAAGGTCGCTGATCAATTTTCTCCGGCGAAGGTATTTTCCAGTTTTTTATTTCAATTTCTTTGATTTAGGGTTTGACAATTGTGGTAATTGGTGATTGTTGATGTGGTATACTGGTGCATTAGTGCTGGTGCGGTAGTTTTGGTGGCAATTGTAGTAATTGGTGATTGTTGATGTGGTATAAACTTGTGGTTGTGATGTATGAATTTTATTATTTGAATAGGATTCTCTTCAAATATAGTGTTGATTGTTGAAGGTGTAATTACCAGTATACTCTTGTTTTGTGGGACAATAAGAATATTTTTGCGAGAGTATATAGATTTCATTAATAGAGTTTTACCTAGATTTGTTGGTTTTAAAGTAAGAGACAATGTGATATTATTGAAGGAGCTTGTGTGAAGAGGGATATCAATGAAACTGTGCTTTGCATGAACCTCGCAGTAAAAATTTAAAAGCTAGATCATTTATTTAACAGAACTAGATATAAATGGTGACGTAATGATGAGATAATCCTGGATGTCTCTAGTTTTGGAATTAAATTTTATGTTATTAGTTGATATTGTTGCATAGAGGCACCCTTCTCTTCTGACTTCTGAGTACTAACACAGAGCATTAGTAAATTAATTAGTTTGTAGAAGATTTTGTCTGGTGAATAAGTTCAGTTCACTTCTTACAACATCTCCATACGGGATTAATTTCATGGTCTTATTAGTATATTTGCAATTTTCAATACTAGATAGGCCGGAACTGATTCCTGAAACCCAAAAACCAATACTATACAGGTCCGGTTCCGATTCTAGTTCCTTGGTTTTGGGCCGGGTACCAAGACTAGGGGTGTTCAAAAGCGGTTAACCGAACCGGTTAACCGCTTTTTTGAACCGAACCGGTTTTTCGGTTCGGGAAAATTCCCGAACCGAAACCGAACCGGTTTAGAGGGAAAACCGGTTTTTCGGTTAACCGAAAAACCGGTTAACCGCTTTTTTTAAAGCGGTTAACCGGTTTTGAACCGGTTTTCCCTTTTTTTTTATAAAACTTATTTTTTTTATTTTTTCTTAAATTAAATTGTAAATATAAATAATACATATCCAAATAAAAATTAGACATTCATATATATTCATTGACTACTACTAACGATACATTAAAAATATTATTATTTTTTATTTTTATTTAATATATAATATATAATATTATTATTTTTTATTTAATATATAATATTTATTTTTATTTAATATATATATTTTGTAAAACCGGTTCAAAAAACCGGTTTCGGTTAACCGCTTTGTATTTTTTCCCGAACCGTTAACCGAACCGGAAATTCGGTTTTTTGAATTTTTCGAACCGTAACCGAACCGTTTTTTCGGTTAACCGGTTTTTCGGTTCGGTTATCGGTTCGGTTACCGGTTCGGTTCGGTTTTTGCATTTTTTTGAACACCCCTAACCAAGACCCGCTCAGCCCATTCAAAATTCTTGCAAGCCCATGGAGGATTTGGTTACTTCATTATGTTATATGTTTAAGAAGATTAAATGAAATTAAGTAAAACTAAGAATTACTCAATTTTAAAAAACATTACAACATTTTCAAATTTGTGTTTGTAGAAGAGTCACATATGTTAAGGATATATGTATTCCAATCTCTAATTCTACAACTTTGTTAATCAATTAAAAAATGTGAACTTTGTCTAACTCATCTCCCCCAAACCTTTCTCTTCATTCTCATCACCAAACAAACAATCTGATGAACGGGCTGATTACTTCTTTATCGAAGAGATATGCAAGTAAGTTAAGATCAAACCTAAAAAATCAGAAAAACAGAATTCATGGGAGCTAATGCAACCTTCACTTGTATTGACCATGCTGGTTTTTTTGCCATGGAGAAAGAGCTTAGAGAATATATGGATTATTAAAATAATCTGTAATGGTGACGGAAAACTGGCTCATTTTGAAACCCCCTCATAGACAGCCACCGATTTCAATTTTGTTTAACAGCCACTAATATGAGATAAGGTTGATATGTGACATATGTTAAGACTCTGAACCCTTATCTCTTGCTTCTTTATTTTTTAATTGACAAGCACTTTCCTTTTACAGTTTTAACCCTTCATTGTTAAAGAAATTTTTCAAGAAACAGCTCTCAGTGGAGGTGTTAGACAATTTCTGAAATGTGAAGGGAGCTTAGTGCTAATTTTTAATACCTGTGGGTGTGAATAACTCAAACTGAAAGCTCAGGGATGATGAGGGATAGGATAAAAACCCTTTAAAAACTAACATAAGATACATTCTAAAAATTAGGGGTGGGCCAAAAAATAGGGTAGAATTGGAACCGATGGGTATCCGTGTTTTGGCTCTAGTTCCTACCCAGAATCGATTACAACAGGATTGGATCCGGTTTTGAAAAACTGGAACCGACACTATATAGTTCCGGTTCCGGTTCCACCCCTGCAAGAACCGGGAATCGGAACTTGCAACCAAATACACCCAAACACTCCAGATTATATTTTTTCCATTCATTTTTTTCTCATCAATATGAACACAACACAAAAAGCAGGAAAAAACATGAAATCCAACTGATTAATATTAAAATTCTGCCATTAAGAAAAACCCAAATCGAAGAACAAAACTCCATATAAAACAGTTTAAACAAACACTTTCAAACGCCAACCGTATTAGCTCTGAAATAAATGAGATGTCTTTTTACTTGTGAAACCAATTAAACACTTCGAACGCCAACCGTGATTTACTGTATGGAAAGGAATTTTATTTTCATTTACTAAATTTGATACTATCTCAAACAAAACACAAGAAAACCAATGGCTTAGGCACATTTGAGATTTCCTTAAAAATTTTAAACATCTGGACATTTTGTATCTTGTATATTACAGTTTGTTGTTGTTCTCTTCATACTAACTTCTCAACCAAAGGAAAAAAAAAAAAAAAAAACACAGATATACACACGGAACTCACTTTTAACTTTCATGAAGATGACCAAACCTCACGAAGGAGCTCGTACCTTGCATTTGAGCCCCTATAGCCAGCATTGTCAATGTGATTTCCATTACCATTTCCACTGGGTGTGATAGTTGGTGACAAGGGCAATTTTTCAAGGATCAAGGAAAGAGGAGAATCCAATTCTTCCAATTCCTCGTCACTGGTATATCCTTTCTTTTGTATCACAGACACATTCCTTAACAATGGAGCTTTCCCCGCCTCTGCTACTTTTTCTGCCACATCAGATAATGAAGGTGGGGTGTACACAACTGGGGCAGCTGAATAAGGGAAGCTTCTAGCTGAATCCCCCGATAATCTTCTCTCAACAATGCTCTAAACAAATGAAAAACCAGAAGGCCTCATCAAGAAACATAGGCAGCATATAAAAGGCCAAAGTTGATACTTCCATCTGCTATGGGATTACTATCATCTAACACAGATTTATTACCATTAATGTATTTTTTCTTTTATTCCATTTTTTGTTGTCATATATAGAAATTCACAGAGCCCAAAAGGTTTTTTGTTAGTGTTATATATCCCAGTTTCAACTCCCAAGTGACAGGCATTATTTTAGAGAGATGCGAAATGAACCACATACATCTTTAAAACAATGACGTCATTTGAGATGCAAAACTTAGGATATACACTTAGAATACATGGTATTATTCAAAGTTCTTAGTTATGAATGAAGTAAACTCAGTGCAAATGACATATCTTCTTTGCATATCCAAAAAAAAGAAATATATATATATATATTATAATTTGGCAAAACATAATACAGGGGATCCAACAAAATTATGATAATTCAATGCGCATAGAGAAAAAAGAAAAACATGATCTAAGGCTCATACCTCGGCATTCAGGGCCTCCAATACAGCTCCTGGGACAGGATCTGGACAGAACTCATCCGGAGTGAAGTTGCAAAGAACCCGTTTTATCAATGCAAGGCCAATTGATGGGCAAACCTAAACACGACAACAGAAATTTCAATCAAGTTGTTGACTCAACTTAAAAGAAAACATGAAAACTACAAATCCCAATATTATTTTATTGTCATTGTAAAACTAACCTCCTGTCTGATAGATCGATCTATTAGCATGTCTTTAGGAAGCATTAAAAGATCACTAAGATCATTAAGAAGTACAAAGGATTTAGGCTCACTAACTCCCTCATGCCAATCATCATCCTCACTGCTATGTTGATCTTTCAGAGAACCATCACTGTCCATGCCGAACACATCAGTAAGCCATCTAGACCAATTGCCAACCTGCATGGAAAGTAAAGTATTTAATCACAACAAAAATAATCTTTTCATGCAAAACTTAAGTATGTATGAATGCTTCTGGTTTTTGGAAGTCCCAAGAAAAAACCACAACTTCCTCTTACTATAATTAACTGGGAAGACACGATCAATAATCAACAGCTATAATATTAACTAAACCCTATGAAAGTAGAATTTTAGTGATCTTAACAGCTAACATTGGATTCAAACTTAATGTCAGAAACGGTGGAAACAACCTTCATCCATTATTTACAAGAACTTTCCACCATAACTTTGGAGGGTACAAGTTCACACAGAAGAGTTAAGATAAATAGGATACAGATATTTCTAACAAAATGCAAGTTCTATAAGAGTGCCCCTATTCATTTTAAGCTCATTACCCTCCGAAGTGTCATGCAAACAAAATTTCAGTAGATTTTTCCACCGCTAAAAATTTCATCAGTCTACATTGCAATTGGCTGCAAGTATCTCAGAAATTTTATTAGTTATTCCAAGGAAAAGCCATCAGGAGAGATGAAAAGAACAGAGACATTGCTCTCCTCCGTCCAGGGAGCAGACTAGTCAGTGGAACAGAAGAGAGCTACTTCCCAACGGACAAAATGGTCAATATTTTTGAGAAAATGCTTAGATACACCATTCAACTATGCAGAAGTGAAGCGAACATGATACATACAGAATTTTTGAGCTGCGCACCCGATCCAAAGCTCAAATCGCCAGCTGGAATAGGCAGAACCTTGGAATCTACTATAGGATCAGACACGGGATCAGTTGGGATGTCAAGGGCTGACTCTCGCAGAATAGCATTGAACATTGCAACATCTAGTCTTGCAACACATTGTTCCATAACCTAATCAAAGAATCATATCAGAAAGCAAGGCAGGAGAATAGATATTGAGAAATAAAGGAAAAGTTAGAGATATTATAAACTACATACAATTCTTGCCAAAACAGGTAAGCAACCACATGCATGCCCTCCCGCTCTAACAGGACAAAGTCGCTGATGAGCTTCTTGAAAAGCATTTCTCCACAGGTTGATAGAAAAGCTACCCTGCTGCTGGTCACCCAAGGCTGGTCCCAACAACTTTCCAGTATTTTTATTGGTTGTCAAAGATGGAGATTGCATATATGGAGTCAAAACCTAAAAGCAATGAAGAGGAACATCAAAGTCAATCCCAATAATATTTGCACTCAAGAAATCATTAATAAATATCTACATTAAAATTGATTTAATGGAGCTAGAGCATTGAACTTAATCATTGTCATAATAATCAAATATTAAGTCATGGCCTCAGTCCAGTTTTATGAGAAAAACATGCAAACAGTTGTTTGACTGCTTTAATTAAATGATGGTTTCCTTTATCTGCCACTAAACTGACTAAAATATCTGAGAGGATATCCAATTGACATATTAAATCAGCATTAAGTAATGGACTCAGTTCAATTTAACGGGCACAATATAAAAGTTCTCTTGACTGTTTTCATCAAATGGTCACTGTGAATTGAAAAGAGCGGATTATTTAGCAACTTCATTAACAGCCTGTGAAACCTTTACCTGCCACCAAACTGACTCGACTATCCGAGAAAATATCCAAGATTCAACTTTTCCTAATGCAGTCATGAAAGTTCCCGTCTCTTGCCAGTCTTCATCTAACTGCAGTTGACCATTTACTTGTTTACTACAGTAAGCCCTCTTCCATTTCAGAGACATAGACTTCACTTCATTTTTTTTGCTAGCCCCATTTGACTCAGCTAACCTTGTAACTGGGACTGAGTGATGTGAAATGCCAAATGCCTGAGAAACGATCTCCCTCAGCACAACGGTGTTTGACAACCAAAAGCTTAACCTTGATGTACAAAAAGAAGATGATTATTATTTGTGCACCAAAATTGACAACATATTAAAATTCAAACACTAAACAAGAGAATTCATATACCTTGACACATCATTACCACAAGACTTGGCAACCAAAACAAGCCCAGACACAGTATTTTTAGCAATTGTAGCTCGCTTGTTTTGTGTCCAATGCTTGCAAGCATGAATGTAGAGTCTAGAAAGGCGTCTAGCAGGTGTGTGCACCTTATGTGCTGAGCTGCCATGCTCTGGTACGACAGAATAAAGTGAAATTTCAAGAGCAGCAACATCTCTCAGCTCCTCTTCCAGTTTCTCAATTCTCATTTCCATCGCTTCAAGCTTTTGATTTAAAGTTGCCTCATCTACATGTTCCCCATTTTCTTCAGTATCAACAGTTTCATTGTCACTTCCAATACTTTGAGCACCATTTGAGGTCTCATCTAAAACATCAGTTTCTTTGGTCTCTTCACCAGGTCTATCATCAACTCCTTCAGAAGATTCTGATGAAGGTTTAGGAGGGGCTCTGATTTTATTTGAATTTTTATCAGAAGAATTTTTGGCAGTAACTTTAGAAGCACCTCCATTGGATTTTGTGGATTTCTTCAAAGTATTATGCCATGCCTTGGCTTTTGATTTATATGTATCTCGATCAGATCTCACTCTTGATCCTACAGAACTGCTTTCAGACAAACTTTTATTGACAAAACTCTCAGGAACTCTAAATGCCTTTTCCACTTTCTCATCGTCAACTATCAATGAATCCTCCTGAGAAGACACTGAATCTTTTGTCGTCTCAGAATCTGATTCCTCTTCCTTCCCCTGCTTAGGTTGTTTCTCAAAATCACTAGAATGATCATCCAAATTTTCATCCTCATCCATTTTTCCAATCACTGCACTAGATTTGAAATCTTTAGACACCTCCTCAAACCTGTTGACATCATCCACATAATGTATAACCGCATTTTCATAAACTTCAGAGGGGTCTGTGCCTCCGTTTGAATCACTTACTAAATCAACAGAGTCTCCTCTAGCAATCAAAGCTTTAGATTCAGTTTCTTTTGCATACAATTTTTTCCTGCCATTCTCTTGATGCTGTTTACGGTCTGTCCTTTCTGTTCTTCCAGATGGCTTTGATTGTTTATTATTGGGTTTCCTCCTGTCAATCTCTTTCATACTTGAGTAGTTTCACCTTTCTAACTACAACCAAATATAGAAGTTCTAAAATCTAATGAGGAAGAAAAGTAAAAGCCAGTAACCTTACAGAAGCTCTTTAGTCGTTTGCCAGAGCTAGATGCACGTATTTGCACCTACCTGTCATGACGTGACTTTCTCCTCTTGGGAATTGCGCATCAGATTCTGCAATTATCCAAATACCTTGAGCGACTCTGCAATAAGATAGGAGAGGAATCACATGTTAGACTTAATGGCCCATCAGTTATAAAGTAAATTTGCAGTGGCATTTCTCAAAGCATGCTTATATACAAAAAGCTTCACTAGCAATACTAGCAACGCTCAACATCAAAATGGAATGGAATAATGTTTGCGGTCGCAACATTCGGCCAGACAGTAGCTTGAAAACTGGAACTCAGATGATCGTTATTCACTAAAAAGAAAGCCTAAAATGATTCTTAAAATATGGAAAATAAGGAAGACAGGAAAAACTCACTTGCACTCTTGCCCAATCCTTAAAACACTCTAGATAAAATTCACTTAAACTCACAACAAAAATATTTAAAACAGTCTCACACACCGACAGCAAATCACAGAAATCCTCTGAAAAAATGAAAGCAAGTTGGTAAAGAGATAAGGGGTTTCATGACTAAATTTAAAGGGTCATATTGGACGAACATTGGTCAATCTTGAGTCCTAGGCAAAATATTTCAGAGGTTATAGCCAAATTCCTTTCTCCTCAGCAAACACTGATGCAATATTCTTTCAGCATTAAAAGTCTGCTTGATTATATGAACTAATAAAATCCGAAAACATACAATGTAATGTTGAAAATCAAAGAAAAGTAGACAAAACATTTTCTTTAGAAGACATTCAATCATACTCCAAACTGACAAAACAATCACAACTTCACAGATGATGGTATGAAAATAACCCAGATCCAACTCACAAACAAGATCTGCAGAAGAATCCTTAGTACATTTACTCTGTATTTGCTCCTGAATATCGCTTCAAAAAAGAAAATCTGATCTGCTCATAATTAACCATAATTACAGCCAAAAAAAATACTTTAAACTACCAATAAACTAAATTTGAACATCAAACCAGAAAATTAGACAATACAGAGAATGCTAAAGTGAGAGCTACATCAGCGAATCCAAGCCAAACAAACAAACCAGAAACCGAAGCTGAAACAGAGCAAAATCTCATAAAAGAACACTAAAACTCACTACTAAATCGGAACTATAGAAAGCGAAAATTCAACAGTACACGACAAGATCTAAGCAAAAACAAAAGAGAGCGTTTCGTGGTGTCATTTTCGGCAGGTTTTCGGCAAAACGACAAGCAAAATAAAAAAAACGCTGTCAAAAGTAAATGACAGTAACTAAAAAGAAAGAGAATAATCGAAATGGAACTTACAATCTACAAAAGCCTGCTCTTCGGGATTACCATTTCTTTTTCTTCTCTCTCTGGGAGCATTAAATTCTGTGCAGTGAGTTTTTTCTTCTCTTGTCGTGGAGGTAGAGGTAGTGAGTGCGGGAAGAGAGGCATTTAAAAAGCGTGCGTGACTTAGTTATTGGTTGGAAACTTGAAAGTACGGACATGGATGACCGGGAGAAGGGTGTCGGTGACTGAGAGGATGACCGGGTATTACAGGTTTCCATTGACGCGTTACGAATAAGTTTTAATTGGTATACCTAAACCGCCATCATTGTCGCTTTGAATTTACCAAACTGTCATTGTCCCTAGCGGTCAAGTTATTTAACCGTGAGCGAAAGAGGTTGCTATTGGTTCAAGTTCAACTAAACAATTGCCTGGACATGATCCGCCTAATCTCGGGGCCCCGACCAAGATGTAACGTGCCATCTTACTAATGACTGCTAAATTAAATGAAAGTCAATTCACAGTTCGTACATAGACTATATTTTGATTTTGTACTGTGTTTATGTAAATTTAATGATGTTCTTATTGTACATTATCATTCATGACAAAAAATCAATAATGTTAAAAGGAATGAGCTAGCAATTATGGGTAGCACTCTTCATCATCGATTAACTATTTCTTATGAGACGGGCTTCTTAACATCACCAAGTACCAATCATTTAGAATTCATATATTATCACGTTGAGATTAACTTAATAGATTTAAGATAAAATTAATGGATGGATTAAGGTTTTTCAAAAAAACATATAAAAATAAATCGCAAAATCAAGGATTAAAGCTGAATACCCATGTAGATTATTCGTCATGTGACACATTTTGAAAGCTCTAAAATTGCTTCATTTTGACATATTTGATTGACAAGTCAATTAAATTGTTCTATCTTGACACGTTGGATTGGTATTTATTATTTCATCTATAATTATTAATTAATTAAAAAATAGGATCTGTATTAATAATTAATAATAACAATACAGATGCATTGCATTGACATTCTAAAGATGTGCATTAATAACAAGTATACATGTGTATTGAATTGCTATAACTAATTGTGGTTTAATGACATTTGTTTAGGATTGTTATCTATAATTATATAGGTGCATTGTATTGACATTGAAAAACTTTCTTCATATTGAAATCGTATTTAATTGCATTGGCATTCGGAAAGTCTAAATAAGGGGTTATAAAATGGGTGCATGTTCAGTTGTGTATCATCACAATTTATTAGTTAGTGTCAACAATACATCTGGTCTTTTGTTAATTGTTTATATGTTATTTTAGTTTGTGAAAATAATATATATATTCTTCATATGCATTTTGATCGATGGTTTTTTATTTATGTATGTTTTTGTTATTGTTTATAAGTCAAAGATTCATGAATTGGCATGGAATAAAGGTAGGATGTCCGATTGACCAGTTTTTGTACGAATGGATAATTGTTCGTTAACAATATTAACATGAAGATCGATTACATTTTGTTATGTTTGTTTTCAAGGAAATAAGGATTTGTGTTTATTATTTTTTTGGTTGAGTCATTGATTCGGTGCGTCTCTTCTGCCGATTGATTGGCATAAAATGTGAATTCGTTGATTTTCTTGACTTTGTTTTCAGGTTACAGGGAAAAAAGTTGACGTGTTCATACAATGGCCAACATGTTCCATACAAATTTGTGTTTATTAAGTCTTCGGTAAAGTCATTGATTTGGTATGTCTATGGTTGCAATCGATTAGCGTGAATTATATGTTCACTGATGTTTGCTGATTTTATTTTTAGCTTACAGTTTCGGTCAAACAGTGAGTATTTGTTGTCAGTATGTTCATATGAGGGGCAATTAGTTTTTCCCTGTATTGTTGACGCAGAGTAACATTAAACGTTCATGGTTTGTATTTTGTCTAAAGATTAAGCATTGTTTTTTCGGCCATGCTATCTGTTTGTTCTGGCCAATATGTAAGCATTTGTTTTGGGACTAAGCTGCATGAAACATTTATGGATTGTTTTATGTTAACAAGGCCCGTGTGAGTATTGTTTTTGCTAACTCTGTTCTCAGGTGTCACAATCGGCCCTCAACTATCATCAAATTGTGCTACTTGGTGCATTGTTGTCACAGGGTAGCAAAATTCGATAGTAGTTGAGGTTCGATTTTGTAATTTATGAATGGAATTTTATTGTATCGGATTTGGTCATTGTGGATGTCAATGATTCGTGCTATGTGAGTGTCATGGTAAGTATCCTCGCATGACGGTGATGGTGATGGTGATTCAGAGATTTGGTTATTCCGGGATTGGTGTTGCTAGATTATGATAGTTGTTATTGTGCAAGTTATTTTGCCTGCATGAACATTTGTGGTTTGACGTTTGATGATGTAAAGATTTGTTAATTGTAGTCAATATACGGTGATCTTGATGTATTCAACTGTATGTGTCCCAATCATCTATGTATTTATTAATACTCATGCAATATATCAAAGGTGTGCTTTCTGGATCATGATATCTTATGCCAACGAATTACAACAAACAAATTGCCAAGCAAATCATGTCTCGCAATTATGGATGACGATTTTTTACTTCTTTTGTCAGTATGTGTGCATTGCATTAGCATTCGGAAGGTCTAACCATCTTGACGTTCTTATAATGTTTTCTAAGTTGTAGGTTTAACAAAATATTTACCATCCTTTCCTTTGGACTTGCGCCAATGAAATATTCCTAAATTGACCAATATAGGAACAGATGGAATTGTATCAAGGTATCCAAATTCCGGTCAAATTCATGGTTTAGCAGTGTTCCTAGAAAAGTTATAACAACTTATAAACGCAACCAATCATATCCTGATAATGGTTCGGCAATGGAATGTAGACCTCAATGATACCTTATGGATAAATTGTGGATCGATCTCTGCTCTATTACCATTCTATAGCCAAATTAATGGTTTGACAGTGAAGTTATCAACCGTAGCAAACTTTGAACAATCATAATTATGAACAACGGTTAGGCAACAGATTCCACACTATTTGTTAGACAATTTTTTAAAGATGTTGAACTACATATCAATAAAAAATTAAGTGGCTTAACATCTCTCTAAGTTGGTATCAAGCAAGCTGCCTAATACTTGGTTTGACTATAAAAAATAACCTGGGAGTGACTAATATAGGAACAGATGGAACTATTTATCTTTCTAATATATCAAGCTATCCAAATTTCGGCCATCCTTAAATCGTGGATAAGAATTCAAATTCATGGTTTAGTGGTGTTCCTAGAAAAGTTGTAAAAAATTATAAATGCAATGAACTACATCCTAGTTATGGTTCGACAATGGAATGTAGACCTCAATGGTGCCTTGATCTGTCGAAATTCCAAGCATTCTTAAATCATGATATCACTGTCGGTATTTTCCCTATCACCATTTTATAGCCAAATTGATGGTTTGATAGTGAAGTTATCGACCACAACAGGCTTTTAACAATCATACTTATGGACAATGGTTAGGCAATAAATTCCATACAATTTGTTAGACAATTTTTTAAAGATGTCGAACTATAATATTAATAAAAAATAAAGTGGCTTAATTTCTCTTTGAGTTTATATCAGCAAAGTTGTCGAACTATAATATTAATAAAAAAATTGAAGCGACTCAATGTCTCTCTTAGTTGAAAATTTCAATATCAGTCTATAAGCAATAAAGTTTATGATTTGCATTGTAATAAACCATTCTCTGTGTTGTAATTTATTCAATAAATCAAAGGTGTGGTTTCTGAATCATGGTATTTTATGCGAATAAATTGTAATAAACAAACTGTGAAACTAATCATGCAGCTTGATGGGTTAATACACTTATTTTTCATTGATATGTTCGGTATTTTGATGATATTTGGCATTCTCATATTTATTGTTGTTCTTAGTAGTGTTGGTCTCTTGATATCGTGTTTTGTAGCTTTACAATTGCTCCTTTTTTATGCATTGGATTTGTACTATTAATAATTTTATAGTGATACTGTAAATATTTATAGATATATATTTATCCAAAATCAATGAGTGCATTGTACTGTTATGTGATACTTTCAATGTGATATTACTATTAATGGTTAGGATATCAGAATTTTAGTTTAATTATGGGTTAATGTGCTTCCTTTTTTATTGATGTGTTCGGTATTATGATGGTATTTTGTATTTTTGATGTTTAATGTCGGCGTTAATGTAGTGTTTTTGTTAAAGTGTTGATGAAATAAATGGTACTGTTTATGTCACATAATAATATAAGTTTGTATCAAATACAACTTAAATAAGAATTACAACTATCCACATAAAAAAATCCCAGTTATTATTTAATTTTGTTATTATTGTAATGTTGTTTATTAAGTGTTATTGAAGTTGATGCAGTTTTGTGAATAGATATTTATCTGAAAGAGACCAATACATTGTATTTGCTATGTATTATGTTTAATGCAAAATTAATGTGAAGTGTGAGGAGTATTTATCTGAATGTGAAAGGTTTTATACATAACTCTTGAAATTAATGTGTTTGTTATATATATGTAGTTGTTTATGTTGTCGTACACGATTAAGGGAAATAAGTAAAGGTACTTAAAAGTACATGATTAGATCATTGTTACCAAGAAATTGCTGGCATAGTTGAGATATAGTTCATGTTACAGGTAATGTGATACCTTCAATTGTTTTTATCTTTCTATTGTAATGTTGTATATGTTCGATTATGAATTCGTCTATAAAAGCTATTAATTTGCGTATAATAATAGTATAGAATTGTAATAAAGAAATTGACGAACAATATTGTAGTGACAATTGTAAATCAGTAAGTTCTTCTTGGAGTTTAAAATTTCAATACCGAACAAAAAAT